CAATCTTCGAGGCTCTGGAATCCATACAAGTTCATACCAAGCTACATGAGAGCGCATCCGATGAAACTAGTTGCCGCCAACCACCTGCCAGCTGCACAAGACGCTGACAAGCGAGAGCCCTTGCATTTCAGCCTGACTTCTGGACCTTCGGACTTGGACTAGCAGCTTCGGCATGCCAAACGCAGCATTCCTTTCCTTCCTCGTCTCTTCATCTCTCTGTCTGTCGTCCCACTCCCGGCCTCCCCCACCCCCTGCGCGCAGTCGCACTCTGATTCTTCGTGCAGGCAAGGTCGCCTTTTTCGACGCGTAGCAAGACGCCACTAACCAAATGCAACCAACCAGCCTCTAACCTGCACCGCACTGTTGCCCCCACACGTCCGGCACCGCCCCTCGTCTCCTTCTTTCGTTCTTTCTCTCTCCCTCCCCATGCCATCACAAGGTCAAATCACGGGGTCGAGGCATGGGGCACATACCCAGCTGCAAAGAGGCACAGCCCCGGGAGCTGATTTAGCGGAGCAGACATGTCTCCATTTGAAAAAACAATTATGCAAAGCTTACCACATGACTGTTGAACTTCCCGCGGCACCACAAGAACTTGGTTATCCGCTCATATGGGGGTTTCCGAAATAGGGGGACCCTAATATAGTACCCTTAATAATAGGATCCTTATTATAAGGACCCCAAAATAAGGTACCCCTAATTTTCGGAAACTCCCATATCTGTCAACGAGTTTCAGCTCCCGAGCTGCTGTGCTTGCCCTAGGCGAGACCGGCCTGTAGGCCTTGAGGCCCAGGAGAATGCCCTCTCCGGCAAAGACCGCACCTTTGCACCACTACAACTCTGACGGTTAAGGGTTAAGGGTTTAGGCTTTAGGGTTTAGGGTTTAGGGAGCCAGGCCACTTGAAGCCCAAACCGTGAGTCAAAAAGTAGCCTTTCTGGTTGTGAGGGTGATGACAACCTTACGTCTGCTGATGCGGACAGCAAGGCTATACATAGTGAACACATGTTGGGCCATGGGCTGACTCTGCTTCGATGGAGGATTCGGACAACTTAGGGCACCCAAACACACACACCAACACACACACACACACATGCACAAACACACCCAAACACACACACACACAAACAAACAAACAAACAAACAAACAAACAAACAAACAAACAAACAAACAAACAAACAAACACACACACACACACACGCGCGCGCGCACGCACACACACACACACACAC